CCCCAGCATGAAGAGCGCACTTCTCTGTACCCCACAATAGAATGGTCATTAATGAGCTGTGTGCCTTCGAGGAATCAAGCTGAAGTAAACCAATAAGAGCACACTGAAATGAATGCAGCTCATCTGGGCCTAAGCCACTCATTATCTCAAACTCTCTCATGCATACACGGCTAAAGATGGGCTATCTTTGTAAACCTCAAAACCCTCCCAGAACACAATGTTAAAACCTATCAGAGATAGAGAACTGGGTTCTTTAAAACATTTTGATAAAATATGGAATCTAAACTGAAAAATCTTCAGTATTTGTTCTTAATGCTCAAAATTGATATTGCAAATGAAGTTGAAAATTATGTTATTAAACAAGATATAACACTTTTCTTTCTTTTAAAATTGCCTCTGCCACAGGGAAGCACAAATGAGGTAAGTTAACATTTTTTTAATTAAGAGTTATGTATTTGTAAATGTGATATTCCTGTTTTATAACTGACTAGGTATTATAGGATATCTTAGAAAATACTTCTCTAAAAAGTATGAATTCTTAACATAGTCCAAATATTATTTGCACAAGTGTCATTAAAGAGTGATTGATTTAGTTCCTATGTTTTAAGATCCAATACTGCATTATTTAATTTCCCCATTGTGGGCAAATACCGGACAAGAGGAAACACACAGAAGCAAAGGTTTAATTGGCTCAGTTTGGGAAGAGATTGCAGCAGAGACAGTATGATGGCACAAGCATGAGGCAGCTGCAGGCAAGGTGCAAGGCGCAGAGGAAGATGGATGGATACTGGTGCTCGGCATCTTTCTCTTTTTAATTCCTGCTGGGACCACAGCCCATGCAATTGATGGTCTTGCCCACACTGAGGGTGGGTCTTCCCTACCTAGTTAATCTTTCTGGGAACAACCTCATAGAAATACCCAGAGATGTTTCCATAATGAATCCAAATCCCATGAGGCTGATGATGAAGACTGAGCATCACACTGTCCTCTCATCTTCTGCAGTGAAGCCAGCAGGTCTACAACCTGAGTAATGCCACAGAGGGCATTTAGGTGCAACTGCCACCTTAAGGACTTTGGCTTTGAGCTGACAGCTTTTCAGAGCACTTCAAGAAGCTTCAATCACAGAACGCATCCATACTTTCTCGGTACACCTCAGACCTGGCCTGTGTGCCAAGGTCTCCTTTCCACATACAGATGGAAAGAAGCTGAGCCTCTAGAAAGACTAGCACACAAGAAAAAAAGTGTCTATAGAGAACTGTTAGATCTTCTTCTTAGCTAATCTTGAACAACAAATAATTCTTCCCTCAGTTTCTGCTTTATTGTACAAGTCCTTTAATCAAATAGCAGTGGAACATTTAATATTTTAAAGTCAATAACAGCTACTTTATACAAAAGTAAACTCAACTCACTAAAAAAGCAAAACAGATTTCAACTTTGTACATAAAATCTTGGGTGGGGAAACCTAATACTTGAAGAAAACTGGAATTAAACTAAGTATACCAGGAGGAGAACACTATACAACTATTCACAGATACCATATTGCACTGCACTGACCACATTTACAGAACTGAACACAGCATCATCTGAATTTACCTTGTTAAGAAAATAGATATAGGGGCTGGAAAGATGGTTCAGTGGTTAAGAGCAGGGGCTGCTCTTCCACAGGTCCTGAGTTCAATTCCCAGCAACCACAGAACAGCTCACAGTTGTCTGTAACTGCAGCCCCATGGGATCTAGTGCCCTCTTCCGTACCCATATACATAAAATACATTTATCTTTCTTTAAAACTGCTATAAAGAATCACAAATGAAAATTTTGAGAATAGCTATAAATATTGAGCTTTTACCTAGTTCTTAAAAGTACTCAAAAACTACAGAATAGAGAGTTGGAATTGAGTGGTATGTGACAGAAGGGATAGATCTTATACCCTATCCCTTAAGAGGAAAGAACTAAGGCACTTAGGACCACCCAAAAATGTACAATATGGAAAAATATGATAGCTGGGTGTGGTGGCACATGTCCATAAACCCAGTACTCAGCAGGCGGAGGAGGGAAGATCATACATTTGAACCTAATCTGTATCAGTCACATAGTGAAACCCTATCTCAAGAAAAACCCTAAAATGCTTTGATTCAAATACCATTAAAATAAGACAAGGAGTAATGAGAGGTCATTTGAGGAAAGACTCTCTGAAGTGGTGTTTCTGAACACGATTCTGTGCTGTCAGAACTGAGCAGTGGACATGCAACAGCAGAACGCTGAAATAGGGGAGTCCGGCTTGGAGAAGGGGCAGTAAGCCTTTAGCTGACCTAGCACACACACAAGAATGGAAAAGCAGCCGCTCTGAAAAACAGATTCATGGCAAGAAGTTACGGGTCTACATTGTCTAAAACTGGCAATATTCACAATGTGAGATGTCCACACATTCCTGGGACAAAGGACAACAATTGGGCTTGAAGCCAGTATTCTAAGAGATGATTAAGATAAAGGAGGTGCAGTCAGAGTAAAAACTTGGGACATTCAACTAGTAGCACATGCCAGGGAATTACAAATGCATTTAAGATGTTAGTTACTGGTCTGTGTTTGTTTTATGTGTGAGTGTTTCAGCTACATGAAAGTCTGTGTACCATGTGTATGCAGTACCCAGGGGAGCCAGAGGAGGGCATCAGATCCCTTGGGACTGGAGTTGCAGGTAGTTGTGAACCACCATGTAGATACTGGGAATTGAATCCAAGTCCTCTGGAAGATGAACCAGTGCTCTAACTTGCTAAGCAGTCTCTCCAGCCCCCACTAGCCTGTTATTTGATAAAGGGTAATGCTACACAGAATATCAATTCAGGACTGAGATGGTTCAGTGGCTAAACCACTTGCTATTCCAAGGGTAAGGACCTAAGTTCAAGTCTCCAATAACCACTTAACTGCCAGTGGATGTGATGGCCCACCTATAACTCCTATGCTTAGAAGGTAGAGATGAGATTCTCTGGACAAGTCTGCTATGACTGGCCAAACTGGTGACAGACCCTGCCTCATATATATTGGGGAGAACAATAGAGGAAGACACCCAACAACTTCTAGCCTCCACCTAAACCCAGATGCATGCACCCCATATACAAAACTGTATTATTAAATATGACTTCAGCATGCTGAAATTTATATAGTACTATAAGGTAAAAGGAGGGAAAGTTACACCTGTGTGCTCATTGTTGTCACCCCATCTTTACATTCTAGGCTCTCTACAAGCTTTACAGTGCAGCAGCAACTCACAGACACCTGTACCATCAAGCTTTCCCTTCGCCAAAGTCAGAGCCCACTGAACAACCAGAAAAGAAGAAAATCTAAGTCAATCTAAGTCAATTTAAAAAATGCAGGTGCATGACCATTTGTCACTTACTATCAATGCTTTTGTTTCCATGCAAACATTCAAAGTGCTTCCTTCAGAGCAGAGTGAAAACCAAACACCCAAGGACTCCAACAGCCCAATTCTTTACTCCAGTGATTAATAAGCAGATGTATGTATGCATGGTTATTTGTTAATGTGCAGTTCCCTGATTTTTGTCTTTAAATATGCTGTTATCATTTCAGGTATTTGTAAATTTGAGGAGAGTAGATATGTTCTGCTTGACTTTACTAAGTTCTACTACTGGGTTATAATTAAATATTGTGATATCTCCATGTTTGGATATGCTCATTTAATTTCTATAGAAAATTTCAGTTATTTTACATGGATATTTGTTAAAGCACAGCATAACTCAGCAGGCTTGATTTAATCTATATAATCTTATACATACCACAGGCTCTTATCTTGAAATATACTTAAGAGCTTAAAAATTGCTTTACCAAAAACTATACATTGTTTCTTTTATATTTATGACTTAATGTAGAATGTAAATCTCTTGATCAAAAATGCACAAAATTGTTTTGTATTATGTGTTTGAGTTTCACTGCACTGTATATTTTTTCATTTGGTACACCAGAAATGTATTCTTCATAGGTTTATTCTTTTAATATGTGAACTATTAAACTTTACTCTGGTTCCTAACATTAAAACAATTGCCTAATGACTCTAGCACTATTTGGGGGTGCTGATGTGGCACGAAGGGCTATCTCACTGTAATTCAAGATGCATTTTCTTTCCAATACCATTTCAGGAGAAGAGAGGGTGCTCGGGGTGGTATGACATTCACTATTTCTAATACCATTTCAAACTAATTGAATAAGGTACTTTCCAGTTACTTAATTTTAAGGAAGTTTAATTAATTTTATTGCTTTATGTTTTTAGACAAAATTGTGCTGTGCAACTCTGGCTAGCCTTCCACCTGTGATCACCCTGCCTACGTCCCCAAAGGTTACAAGCATGTGTCACTATGTGTGCTGCATCCTTCCAGCTCATGTCAACCAGTGGGTCTGTATTCATTTCAAATGACTGAGATCTTTAGTGGAGTTTATTAAGTAAACCAAACCCTTAGAAGACAATAAAAAACAAGGTGGGAGGCCAGGTGTGGTGGCACAGGCCGTTAATCCCAGCACTCAGGAGGCAGAGGCAGGCAATCTGTGAGTTTGAGGCCAGCCTAGTCTACAGAGTGAGTTCCAGGACAGCCAGGACTACACAAAGAGATCTTGTCTTGGAGGAAAATAAATGAAGTGAGGGGGAGAGAAGTAATGAGGGGAAAGGTAATGCCTTTTATCTATCTGGGAACCCCAAACAGGCATTAGCTGTCTTGGGAATGGTGAGCAAAAAAAAAAAAAAAAAAAAAAAAAAAAATCCTAGAGACAGAAGAGTCTGTGCAGTTCACACACTGCCACAGGTCATACTTTAGAAACACCTGCCCTATGCTCAATAAATTCCCTTTTCTCCCCACTGATACGTCCCACCAGTCATATTTCAGTTTCAACCCCCCATTCATTATAGACTTCTTGGGCTTGTGGGCCTTCTGAACAGAAAAGCATCAAACATTGTACTGAATCTAAAACACTAAAATATGGACTCAAGGATCAGACGGTTTCCACAAAAATATATTTAATAACTTGTAATATAAAATCAAACACAAAATTTAATCAATAATTCAAACTCACTTCTAGCAGGGAGTGCTTGTATTTAGGAAAACTAAAATATATACATATTCACAACACTTGTAAGCATAGCTGAAGAGTGATGAGACTCACAGAATTCTAGATTTACAGCTGGAAGTTCCATAACTTTATCTTAATCAAGTGTTTGGTATTAATTATGAGCAACTATTAAGTCAAAAGCAAGAAAAATGGGGAGGAATGATCAGTTTTTCAACCTTTATGACAAATACTTCTCTAAGATACAAGTGACCAAGATCTTACTGGATCCCTGATTGTCATTTCTGGCAACTTAGCCCAGCCTGGTGGAAGGCAGTGTGCTATGTGGTCAGAGAGCTTGTGTTGTGTCTCACCAGAGCCTCATTAACAGGAGTTGTATGCTCTGGCTCAAAGTAAGGAAGCAGTATCAACAACAGTTGCACACACCTTCCCCATACAGGCTAAGGCCTTGTTTAAAGGTATTGCTGAAAGGTTCTATTGCCCTGCTTATATTAGGAAGCGGAGGAGTAGATGACCACGTACATCACATACAAGTTCATCACAATAAAGGTCTGAGTCCTATTTTGTACTTTGAACTACACCATAGTAATGGTCAATCCACCTTATTCCAGAAATGTGGTGATATTTTGTTTATGATCTAACAAATAAAGCTTGCCTGAAGATCAGAGTGCAAAGCTAGCCACACTAGTTAGCCATAAAAGCCAGGCAGTGATGGCACACACCTTTAATCTCAGCACTAGGGAGACAGAGGCAGATGGATCTCTTGTCAGTTCAAGGCCACCCTAAGCTACAGGAAATTGATCCAGTCAAAAGAGAAACAGAGCTCACACAAAGGTGATCCCAGCACTTGGAGTAGCATGCCGTTAATCCCAGCACTAGAGAGGAACGTAAGGCAAGAAGAGACACCACAGAGCTCAATGCACTCAGTCAGTCTGGGGAAACAGTGCAGTCTGAAGACAGGATCACCCTTTCAGTCTGAGCACTGGTAGAGGTAAGAACTTTCTATTGACTGGCTGCTTTGCTTCTCTGATCTTCAGTTTTCACCCCAGTATCTGTCTCTGGGTTTTTATCATCTGTACTACAAAGTACTTCACACCACAATAAGCAATTTTTCAAGAATGTGCTCTTGCCCTCTTCCTTTTTTCTGAACAAGAAGGGTGTATTCCATAAGAAGAAAGAGTGATTGATTCCTCAATGCCTGGGTATGATGACGTTCTCTTCCTGTACTCCTTTCATCAAGAACATTCAAAGCAGTTTCTTAATATACAGCATTTGGAAGCATATGCCTTACTGGCTCTTTAAATGATAAAAATTTTTGGTTCAATAAAAGAAAAATTTGGTAACAAAATATATGTAAAACTATAATTTTGTAATTCCAAATAGTAAGTTGCCTTTATTAACCAAAGTATTTGTTTGCAGTCATTTATCCGAAACTAAAGCTCTTACAAAACTTGGATTGTGATAAAGTTAACTTAAAAACTTCTTGCCATGTTGCTGGGCATACCACTGCTGTCTCTGCTTGCGGTTTTCCAACTCAGTGAGAAGAGCCTGTCTGTAGGCCTCGTACATCTTAACAATCTGCTCCAGTTCCTTCATGAAAAGCAATTTCAACATTCCCTGGTAGGTGTCCAGGTCAGCCAGCTGGAAGAGCTCCCACTTCAAAATGTGGTCATATCTATCATAAAACACGTTCATAACATAATACATAAATGTGCATTCACAACAATAAACTGGTATATTTTATAGACATTTTATTACATGTAAACAGATATGTTTTACTTTAAAATGTTTGAGTTAGAAAAACTTGCTATTTAGACAGACTTTTTGTTTGTTTTGAGCTGGGGACCTAAGCTGACCTTGAACTCCTGGGCTCAGAATATCCCCCTGCCTCCTCTCTTCAGCAGCCGGGAAGATAGGAGTATGCTAATACACATGGTTCTAAATACACTACTCTTCCTCTTCCCCCTCTTTTTAAAATTCATTTACATTTTTATGTGTATGAATGATTTAACTGCATGCCTGGTGCCCAAGAAAGCCAGAGAAGTTGTCAGATCCCCTGGAACTGCAAAAGCAGCCAGCATTCTTAACTGCTCTCTCTCTCCAACCTGAAGTACATTTTTATGTGTATGGGTGTTTTTGCCCACACGATGTGTCTGTGTACCACATGCATGTATGGTGCCCATGGAAGCCAGAAAGGGGCACTGGATTCCCTGGAACTGGAATTTCAGACAGTAGTGAGCTGCCATATGGATGCTAGGAAGTAAACCTGGGTCCTCTGCAAGAGCAGCCAATGATCTTAACAATTGCGCTCTCTCTCCAGCCCCAAACACACTTATTTTTTAAGGAAAGGGAAAAACAAAACAAACTGTTAGATATTACGTCAGGTTAAAGAGTACCCATTTAGTTTAAGACCCAACTTTAATATTAGTCCTGAGCAATCATTAATACCATTTCCAGACCGATAGTGGTTCTGTAATTTCCAAAAAGCACATCCTATGTTCTTATAACTTCATACAAAGTCAGTTTAGGGAACTGTGAATACTTCAGAGCACACTGTGCTTCCCAGTGATAGTGCAGAAAAATGGATAAAGTCACCGGTGTCCTCAGAGCTAACAGATGTACATGAGGGACACTATTCACTGCTGTAAATAAGGAACCCGAAAAAGGATGAATCACTACTTTTAGGCCAAGTATTCCTGAGGAGTAACTTCAATAAAAACCCAGGAAAATGGGTTCGGAGAGATGGTAAAAGCATGCACCGCTCTTGCAAAGGATCAGAGTTCAGTTCCCAACAAATCAGGTGGCTCACAACCCCCTATAACTCCAGCTGCAAAAACTTCAATACTTTCTTTTGGACTCAAATACTACACATATGTGTGCACAAATACATACATAAACATAATTAAAAATTTTTTTTTAATTCAAGAAGCCTTTCAAAATGAAACTAAACTGAAGAAAACTCCACAATGTGACACACTGGTTATACTTGTGTGTGTCTTGGAAGGCCTCTAGCCCTCCTTCAGGGCTTAAGTGGTTCAGGATGAGCTGGAACTACAAAACCAACTACTAATGTAGTAACTTACACTTTGAAAGGGACAAGAACAAAAGACAACAATCTAATTCAGTTTTTTTTATTTATAGATGAAAAGCCCGAGAGCTTAAAAAAAAAAAAAAAACTAATTATCTCTTGCAAAAATGTTTAGTGATCTAATAATACAGAAAAGCAGGGTTCTTTGGAACAAGAAGGTTTCAGGGTGAATGTCCATTATTAGAGGGATGTAAACATAGTAAGGCATGTACCTATGTTATGTTGATATCTTATCTCAAATCACTGTAGGACAGACATAAAAGGAAGGTTTAATTATGAATTCTAATGGATTTATTTTTAATAATCACATGTCCTACCTAATGGGTACATTTGCCACTTTATTCCAAAAGGCTCACCCATCTAATATATAAATATGTATGTCTTCAAAAACAAGACCCTGAGCAGTTCTTCCAAGCCGCCCAGTGCAGCTCACAGTCGCAGCTGTCTTGGGTGTGTGCATCCGGGGACACCAGCAAAGCCACAGGAGGTATTTCACTGACTTCTACTTTTTATTCTGTTCCCTGAGGACTGAAAACTTACCAACATAAGACTACTTTCTTTGCAGAAACCTGGATATTTTCTTTTCTGGGCAATCTAACTCCCTCTGAACAGGAACGAAAGTTGTACCAAGAAGCACTCACAGCTCAAGTGTTTCCCAGAAATGCTGTCATTCAGGGAGTTTAACTTCTCTCTGAAATAAATTCACAATTCCTAACAAGGAACTTAATCTCCAGGATTGTTCTGCTTCGTTTCATCAGCGTACCAAGTTCTTACCTGGGTTATTGTTTGGTTATAAGTACTGCAACTTAAATGTTAATCTTATAAAATGTAAAGAAAATAACAAAAACTAACCTTGTCCATATTTAGTATTCTTATGTATCCATTGCCAGAGGGCTACACACATAGTAATGAGGATTTATACTTTTTTGAGGAATTCTTCCTTCTAATCCAAAAGCCAAACTTTGTAAGTGCTGATATACTTTTTTTCCCTAAGATTTGTTTAGCTGGCACCTAATATCCTTTCTTAAATGTTACATAGAAGTCCATATTATAAGAAAAGCACAGTCCCCCAGGACAGTGTTTCTCTGTATAGCCCTGGCTGTCCTAGAACTCTATAGCCCACACTGGACTTGAACTCACAGAGATCTGCCTGCCTCTGCCTCCCAAGTGCTGTGATTCAATGTGTGTATCACCACTGCCCAGCTAAGCTTGATACTCCTTAAGTTGAGCTTTTTAGAGACCCCAAAGATGCTGGCACTATGTATTCACTTACTTCACAGGGGCTCGGGCGTAAACCTGAAGCCAGTCAGGGATTTCTGCAGTATGATAAGGATTTGCAGGCACCAGGAGGGACTGATTTCTTTCAGTTTGCTGTGGCTGGTATGTGATGGGAGGAGGCTGATCATAGCGAGGTACACTAAAAAGAAAGAATTGACATTTAATAAAATGTAAGCCCTTCACCTAGGACAGAAATATGATGACCAGCAGCTTTTAAGGCCTAACTGACTATCTTCCACCCTATCAGAACTTTCTATGGTAAGGGTCTGGGTATTTTTAAAAATTCTACTGTATAAACATATACTCCATTTCTTTTGGAAGCTGATATGCTGCTAGTGATAAACACCCAAGTTAAGGGGCAGGTAGAAAGAGAAGAGCCAGGGCAGCTCCCACTGCAACCGGCCCTGGGCCCTGGACCTGAGTCCCACCCTGGTGCCTCCTTTCCCTTGCTTATCCCTCAGCTCTTCTGGTGCCTGGTCCTTTGGCCCAAAGGTCCTCCTGTGCCCCACCCCCAGCTGCTCTCTGCATTCCCAACTCTACCGCTTCTCCTTTGGTTATCAGTCAGGCCTGACCTACACACAAGTGCAATGTGTTGATAACTAGGTTGCTCCTGAGGAAGTGGAGTAGGCCGAGGGGCCGGGTGCCAGTTCCAAGGTTACCTGAGCCAGGAGGAAACTTTCATAGGAGTGAAGCCAAGAGACCAAGGAGCTGAAGTATGAGGATGCCTCCCGCCCCATCCCCATCCTACATGCTGAGCTAAGATATGAAGGAAGATATGACTAGGAAATTCAATGGCTAACAGGCGGAACAGTTTAAAGAGGAAGAACCCATGAATACTTTCAGAGTAACTGACACAGAGCACTACAGACACTGATAGAAGCAGGCCTCCACAGAAGGTGGCAGAAAGACTTGATGAAATGTTTCAGACAGGGTTGGTAGCATACGTTGATCTTGATAAAAGAGCAATTGATGCTCTTGGAGTTTAATGAAGAAAGGGCTATCTGTGCTACAGCAATTCAAGGTTGCACAGTCTCATGTGTACATGCCCAAACAAGTCTTCTCCCACCATTTTATACAAACAAAAGTGAATTTTTACATGGAGTTATGAAAACCTATAAGCAAAGAGAAAAACAGAACAAGGTGCAAGAGTCCACAAAGGGGTTCCATGAAGCAAAGACCAAGGCCTTGCTTGGGAGAATGGTTATATTCTGAACATAACCACAGGAGAGAGGAAATACAATGTTCCTCCACCAGACAGTGTGTATTCAGGTGTATAACCTGGAATTGAAACAGGTCTTCACAGGTAAAATCCCAAGAGACTTGTGGGAGGGTGAGATGATGCCCTTTGTGAGAAGGTTGGTCCTCTCTGGCATCTACGTCTCATGATGGATCCACTCTAGTCAGAACAAAGGATATGCATTTATTACCTTCTGTGGAAAGGAAGCTGCCTGGGAAGCAACTCAACTGTGTGAGAGCTATGAAATTCGTCCTGGCAAACACCTGAGAGTATGCATTTCTGTGGCCAACAGCAGACATTTTGTTGGATCTGATCCCAAGAATAAAACTAAAGAAAACATTCTGGAAGAGCTCAGTAAAGTCACAGGTTTAAGAGGGTTTGGTGGAGGTTATTCTCTATCATTACCCAACGACAAAAAAATGAAGATCACAAGTCAGCAGCACAGCCAGACACTGGCTGACGAGTGGGAAAGTACAAGTGAAGGAGAACGGTTTGAGTGTGTGCTGGTTTTGAATAGGTGTGGCCCCCAGACTCCCAGGTTTGAGTGGAGGAGGACGGTTTAAGTGTGTGCTGGTTTTGAATAGGTGTGGCCCCCAGACTCTCAGATTTGAGTGGAGGAGGACAGTTTAAGTGTGTGCTGGTTTTGAATAGGTGTGGCCCCCAGACTCTCAGATTTGAGTGGAGGAGGACGGTTTAAGTGTGTGCTGGTTTTGAATAGGTGTGGCCCCCAGACTCTCAGATTTGAGTGGAGGAGGACGGTTTAAGTGTGTGCTGGTTTTGAATAGGTGTGGCCCACAGACTCACAGAGGTGTGGCCTTGCTGGAGTAAGTGAGGCTTTGTTGGAAGAAGTGTATCACTGGGGGGTGGGCTTTGAGGTTTCAGAAGCTCAAGCCAGGACCAGTGTCTCACTTCCTGCTGCCTATGGATCCAGTACCATGTCTGCCTTCATGCCATCATGTTTCCTGCCATGATGACAATGGACTAAACCTCTGAACTGTAAGCCTGCACCAATTAAATGTTTTCCTTTATGGTGTTTCTTCACAGCAATAGGTACTACAATGACAAGAAATATGGAAAAGCCATTTTCTGAGTTTGGAAAGCTGGAGAATGAAGACGTCAAAAGACTGTGCATTTCTCTATTTTGAAGACAGAAGAGCTGCTGTTGAGGCTAGGGATGAAATGAATGGAAAAGAAACAGAAGGGGGAGGAATGAAATTGTCTGAGCTAAGCCACCAGAAGGAAAAGAAAGAATGCCAAGCTGTTAGAAGGGCCTCCAGAAGGATTCTATATGAAGACTATTCCAAATGAGATGCTGAAGCTATGGTGGAAGGAGAAGCGAATATGGCTACAGTCCAGATTACTACAGCTATGAAGGCTACTACAGTAAATATTATGATTATGATTATCACAACTACTGTGGAGACTATGAAGATGGTTACAAAGTGAGAGGAACAGGAAGAGGAAGGAGAGGGTGAGTGAGGCGTTACACTACCACCAAGGGGGTGAGAAGCACCATGTCTAGCTTTTCACGGGGGGGGGGGGGGGGGGGGGGGAGGCACATCTGGGACCACCAAGATGCTCAGGAGTGGCAGAGGGGTCCTGTAGAATAGTAACAAAGAGGTCATGGTCCTAGTGGAGCACAGGGCAATTGAGGGGGCAATGTAGGAGGCAAGAAAAAAGCAGATACAGCCAGCCTGAGTCCAGGTGTCATGAGGCCAACAGCCAACAAAACTGGGGTTCCCAACCCATGGATCAGCAGCTGCCTCAACATGTAGTAACTATTCTACTAACTGAAGTTACAATAATGACAACTAGGAATTTTACTTCAGGATATTTAGAGGCAACAGTGGAAATAGACAAGTGAGGGCTTGAAGATAATACTGGCCAAAATACGACTGGCTTGATATCTACATTCTTCAAAATAAAATTGGCTTAACCGTTTCATCTTTAAGTAGCACTTTGTTGCCATTTGTATTCAGCTGAAGAAATCATCACTGTGTATATACTCAAGGCTTTTTATTTTTTTCTTTTCACTAATGCTCTTGGACATTATTGGGCTTGGAGAGCTCCCTTATTATGGGCGACAATGTTTTCATCATTCCAGGCTTCATTTTAGCTTCAAAATAATCTGTTAAATCAAAACCTTTGGTTTGGAAAGTTCTATTTTTCTGGATTTGGAACACATTTCATAGGTATATGAAATACGCTGTAAATAAAAGTACAAGCAAGCTAGTGCGTTGTCTTAGTAGTCTTAAGAAATTAAAACAAACAGACTTGAATTTTTTTTTGTTTTTTGTTTTTTTGTGACTGTATGTTCAGCATTCCTAGAAGCAGATTAACTATGTTTTTAAATTGTTACAATTTCACACATTTTTGAAATCTGCCCTACAAAATTTGTTTGGCTTCTATGTCAAAGCAATGATTGTATTCAATTTCTTGTTCATGTGAAATTTTAGTAAAACTCAAAAATCTATTTAAAAAAAAATCAAGCAACAACAACAAAAACCAAGTTAATCCTTCTGTGTTTTAAGACATATCTCCTCGCTGGTATTCATTCTTTTTAAGGAAAGCTTTAAAGGTTATAAAAACCTGGGTCTTAGTTTTAACCTTTATTACGAGGCTTAAATCATAAGCACAGATTTATGCAAATAGCTAGTAATTTTCCAACATATATATTGGAAAGGTCTATAGCTTTTCTCAGAACAGAAAAGGATGTTTCTCTTCCTCCTGTTGACTGAAAAAGTAAGGCTGGAGTAGGTAGTGCAGCAGGACTGGGAGTGGACTAGAGCCTTCTGTAAATCAGAGAATTAAAAAGGATCAGGTTTCAATTAGCTCTACAGCCTGAGTAAGCTGAGCAGGGAAGAACAGTTATATACAAGTGAGATGTTCCTAGAAGGGTACTATGCAAAGTACTCAACACCTGCAGGTTACAGAGTGAATTCTGGGAAACCAGACTGAGGTACTTCAGGCATAAAGACAAAACTGAAATGAGTCTGCCTGCCTCTAAACACAAAAGACATGCAAATATGAAAGAAGGTCACTGCTTTCTTAATTAGCATTAAAATAAGATCTAGATTATACTATGTTTAACAGTTCAGTTTAAGATTATTTATGTGTGTGTCTCCTCGTATGTGTGAAGCCAGGAGAGTATCAGATACCCTGGAGTAGTTACAGGCCACCATAAGATACCTGACAGGGGTGCTGGAAACCAAACTCGGAACCTCTGAAAAAGCAGCCAAGTGTTCATGATGACTGAGCCATTGTTCCAACCCCATCAATTTAAAGATAACATGAAAATTGAACTAATTGTATCTTCCAACATTTTTAATAAGTGGGTTCAAAGGGAAATAGTAATTGATACCGTATGCTTTAAAAGCAAATATGCCTGTGTTTTGGTTTTTGTTGTAGTTTTGAGACAAAGTGTCACTATATAGCCCTATCTAGAACTCTATGTAGACCAGGCTCGCCTTGAACTCCTAAGTACTAAGACTGAAGGTGTAAGCAACCATGCCCAGCTTGTGTTTTAAATTCAGTCTAACCACCTACAATTTATATGAAATGTAGGTAGAACTGCCTTTACTTTACTTTTTTGTAAAAGCAGACACATAAATTCGTACCACAAATGATATTTACAAGTTCTACATAAAGACTGTCATACAGTGGAACACCTATTAATACTACTATATGAACTGGCGAGTACTGATTCTCTTCTACCTAACATCTACAGAGCTGCTGAGAGAAACAATCATTTGGAAAATTACTTTATAAATCAATAGGTTGTTACAAACAAAATAGCCTTTCAAATCGGATGCTATTCCGTGACAGCAAACCATAACCATGGGCTTAGTTCTTCAACAACTTCATGAAGTCATTCAATAAAGCTAAGTGCTAAATGTAATCACTAGGAAAAACAGATTTTCAAGGTTGAATCACTAAATACAAAAATGTAAAATGTTTAAAACAATATACAGATAATGTTATCCCTGTAGATAGTAATTCTAAAATGAATTCTTATAATTTTAATGATTTTAAAAAATTATAGATATCCACCATAACCAACAAATGTATTAGGCCAGATGACTCTAGGCAGTTACCTATCAATGTGCTTATGAGATGTTACATACTTGCACTAAGTTCTTACAGCTTAAACGTAATTAATGTGAACTATTTGCTTCTTAGTTTTATATGTACTTTGAAGTACAGTGTCTATTTTACACTTCCAGCAATATGAATTGGATTATCAAGTTTCAAGTGCTCAATAGCCACATATGAAAACTGGCTACAATATTAGATAACACAAGGCTTAAGTATCATTCAAAACAGTCCAAAGAATTACTGGTTATATTTATTTAAAAAGCTACACTGTTTTGTTCTATTCCAACTTTTACTTCAGTAAGCAAACAACATAAAATCGTGTCTGAAGTTGAATAAAAACAGCAAGATAATGTCAAAATTATATTCTGACTTACTAGGAAGTGGGTCTGACTGATGAGACGGCTGATTTACTAACTTTAATTTCTGGGTGTCTACAACAAAAATATTCTGGCATCTCTTCTAATTGGAATCGGATCACAAAGACACATTTGTTTCAGAGAAAATACTTTTAAAAAATTTACTAATTATTAAAATCATTCATTACTAAAGTATATCTAGGATAAATATAAACTTTGAGAAATATCTATTTAAAATCTCAAGCATCATTCAAGATGCTCATCTCTTCAAAAAAATGTGAGACCAAAATGTAACACAGGGTGCTCTCAAAACAGAAAAGCTGAAAACGAAACTGCCACTTTACCTGGGAGCACAGGGGTGCCTGTACTGAGCCCTTTTATTTGTGTGATCCACATAATAGGTTCCAAATTCTGAGGACTCTACTCGTTCCCATCCAGGAGGAAGTCCTTCTCGTTCAAGAGGATGACTCCAATGAGTTGTGTTTGTGTTATGATCTATGTAGTATTTTCTCCCTCTCATTGTCCAGTCCACAGACCAGCCAGGGGGAAGGGGTAAATCTTCAGATCCATGGTTAGTTAAATTACCTAGAGATGTAGCAGCAACTCTCCCAATACCTGAAGAGAAAAGAAAATGGAGCAAGTGTTCAATTGTCTATTAAAATTTATGAATATGTCAATATAAGATTTCCACAAAATTAGTCATTACTATTAAATTAGAAAGAGAAAGAACTGAATTTTGAAACAAATATGAGTTTTGGCTTGTTGATTTGAATCTTCTATCACCAGGGCATAGGAAATACTTGTACTGCTAAAGGAAAAGTGAAGAAAGGAAAAATCTCAAGATTTAAGATTTGAAATGTTATCTAAAAAAGAAAAAGCAAAAATAAACTTGTAAAACCATTCCATTCCAAGTTCATAATTTTTAGAAGAATCTAACTGTGCCCTAGAATTATTAAATAAGATTATCAAGGCAGTCAACATGCAAATAAGTCAAATAGCCACATGCTGACCACAACTAGAAATAGAGGTTAATGAAAATGTACCACTTATGATGGCTCCAAAAATCATAAAGTCGTTTCCAATTAGCTATACATTATTTGGCTAAGTAAAATGTTGAGCTTTAAGGAATGATTCTTTTGAAATTATACTGACAATCTTAATACACTGAAATGCCAGAGTCCCAGCTTAGAAGAGCAATGTTTCTTTCAATCATTTCAGTATCTATGAAAACAGCAATGACTAAAACAGTTTAGAAGAAACATTAAAATTAAGGTATGCTTGAATAGAAATGCTTCTATTTAAGCTGAAATTCTAAAGGATGAAATGTAAACTCATAAATAAATACAGGTTATTGGTAGGTGTTTTAAAACTGTACTCACTAACACGTCACTGCAGCACAGCCTATAGAAGGGCTAGCACTGAACCGATACTGACACAGTAGATGATTATGCCACTGGATGCCTAGGTCAGGGCAGAGTAGTGGCCTGCACAGCTACTCTCTCTCATGAAGACATTCTCTACTTCCTACCCTGAGAGATTAAGAGTAAGAGAGACAGCCAGGCATGATGACTCTTGCCAGTACTCCCAGCATTTAGGAGACTCTGGAAGAAAGAATGCCACAAGTTTGAGGTAAGCCTAGTTGCACACAGAGTTCTGGGCCAGCTTGGGCTAGAGAGAGGTCCTGTCCAACCCCACCCAAAACAAGTGAAAAAAATGCAGGTAATATGCTTCCTTTATATAGTCACACTTAAAAGTCCTGGGCTCCACCATCTCAGACTTCCTGGTATTCACCTGTCTCTGTGAGCAATAATTTATGGCAGAAAGGATAAGATACAAAAGATCATGAAGCTTCTGTCCCTATCAAGCTCATGTGCTTTCCCTAGGATCACTTGGGAAAACCAGCTGCTTTAATGTCATAAATTTGTGCATGTAACGATGGACTGAAACCTCCAGCTAAAATACAAGCCTCTTGTTAACAGCTTCGGGAGTTATTTCCTAAACTATGCAACTAAGTTTTCTCTCCTCTCCGAACCCAGACCTAGAACTTGTTTCTTCAACATGAACTTGGTGGTGATATTTTGTTTATGATCTAAAAAAGCTTGCCTGAAGATCAGAGTGCAAAGCTAGGAACACTAGTTAGCCAGAGAAGCCAAGCAGTGGTGGCCACACCTTTAATCCCAGCACTTGGGAGACAGAGGTAGATGATCTCTATTAGTTCAAGGCTACCCTGGGCTACATAAAATGGATCCAGTCTAAAAGAGAAACAGAGCTCTCACAAAGGTGATCCCAGTACTTGGAGTGGCATGCCGTTAATCCCAGCACTAAGGAGACAGGAAGAGATATGGCTGGGCAGAGAGAGGAATATAAGGTAGAAGGAGATAGGAGCTCATGGCAGTCTGAGAAGCAGTGCAGTCTGAGGATGAGTCTGAGGAGGCAAGTCTGAAGACAGACAGGATCACCCCTGTAGTCTGAGCATTGGTAGAAGTAAGAACTCTCTAGTGGTTGGCTGCTTTGCTTCTCTGATCTTTCAGCTTTCAGCCCCTGTTAGCTGACTCTGAGTTTTTATTATTAATACCAATTAGAATTTGTGCTATAGAACTTGTCCTAGGTCTGGGTCAGGAATCACAAGATGTGCTTAACATTCTATAATCCCAGAAAGAACTATTAAAAAATAAAATATGGATGTAATCTAGAAAGTTTCTAACGTTTAAAGTTGGAACAACGTACAATAGATGACTCAAAATCACATTGTAACTCTAAATATAAAATAAACATACATAATGCATATGTGTGTTAGAACTACAGAATGAGAAATGAGAGAAAACTTCCTTAGTGGAAAAATTCACATGTGTAGATATATTCACATGTGTAGATATGTTGAGAAGACCTGCACATATTTAGATATCCATACCCCAACAGGGAAAGCTCAATATACTTGCCCTATTCAAAGTGCATTAGTGTTATTGACTCCCATTCAAAAACATAAACAAAAATAAAATAAAAAACAAAAACAGTTTACAAGGGGTAAAAGAATGATGTCCAATGGAGAAATCCGCCACAGTAATATCACATGGATAGTGTACCTCTTTACACATTAGATTTTTTTCTTTTTTTCTCCTTCATCTTTATCTCTCTCCCATTATCTCCTCCCTCTTCCACCTCTCAAACCAGTAAAATCGGCTCAATCTAATCAGGAGGAAAATATCAAAGTCATATTGAGGGGGTTCTACAAAATGTCTAACACAGAAGAACTATGAAAGCGGCGGAGACAACAGAAGGCTATAGACATGAGTGGATCCTGGAACATAAAATGGATATTAGTGAAAAACCTAGTTAAACCTGAGTAAATCTTGGAATTAAAAAAGTTATCCATGAGGTCATGAAGATACCCCACAAAAAAATTTCATTACTTACCTTTGGAAATGGCTAGGGTAGCACTTCATTACTAAGAAAAACAGTAAATGAAAGGAAAGATCTAGTGTTTACCCCTTCTTTCCTAAATGAATAACCAGCAAGTACTTATAAAAACTGTTTTAGAACTCCAACTACAAAATCAGAAGAAATAACAGAATTAAAGTATCACAGTTTGCAATACCCAACAAAAAGGATCATTACTGTCTCCCCCCAAAAAAGAACTTCCTGATGAATAAACCAGGCTGACAAGGAGAACATGCTAAAACTGAACATCACAATGAGAGAGACAAGTCCTAACACATGTAGTAAAATTCATATAATGCATCCATGAGGAACGCAAGCAAAAAGACTTACTACCATTTCACATGAAAGGAAAAAAAAAGTTTTGAGAAAGTTATTTTACCAAAGCCCACTATATAAAATCAAATGATGAGCATTACTAACCATATCATTTTAGCAACAAAAGATCAATTATAACTCTTCAAACAAAAACAAGCAAGCAAACTACCAATTTTAAATTAATCAATAAGAAAAATAAAAGATCTTTAGTTTCTGAGCTACAACTTTAAAAAATAAGTTTTCCATAATTTAAATTGGTCCCAGAAAATAGTAACTGGCATTTTTTCATAAATGAATAGCTTTTGTCTATGGCTGTAACTGTACAAATATGCTCCATTAAATTTAAAGTAAGCATTCACAAGCTAAGGACTGGATATTCTAAGGATCAACTAGCACTTTGTCTTTACCAAGCTTCACGAGCTTCAAAGACCTTAACAACCATGAAGCTGCCTGAGACCTACATGTGTGAACAACGCTTAAAATTTCTCATTTCTAAATTCAGTAGTACCTGAAGACAGTAAAGTGGGAGCTGGAACCATGAGTTCCATAAGGAACACAGTAAGATAACAAATGCTACATTGTGTGTTAATTAGGATGTTGGTAAAGGGCCTTTACATATTGATCTAAGACAACTGCTGCTTCACTTGCTAAGATAAAACTGTATCAGCTTCACAAGATAATTCTAATGAACTAAATGCTTGCACATTTACTGGAGTAAATACAAATTCAGTAGTTTTAAAATAAAGCCTGATAAATTATGTGATCTTTAAAACTTCAAAAATAGGTTTAGGACCAACTAATCAATTCAGCTAGACTGACCAGCAAGCCAGCTAGCAAGCAAGCAAGAGGTCAACTGGTCTCTGAGGGTAAAAGTACTTAGCACCAAGCCCTGCATTTGATTCCCAGGACCCACAAAGTGGAAGGAGTGAACCAATTCCTGCAAGTTGTCCTTTAACCTCCATACATGAGCGTGCGTGCGTGCGTGCGTGCGCGCGCACACACACACGCGCACGCACACACACACACGTGTGCACATGCCCAAACACATAAGCACCCACAATCACACATTGTACTGGCTAGTTTCATGTAAACATAACACATGATACAATCAGCAGAGAAGGAAGCCTCAGTAAAGAAAATGTCTCCATAAGATCAGGCTGTGGGCAAGCTTGTAGGGTGTTTTCTTAATTAGTGATTGTTGGGGGAGGGTCTAACCTATTGTGGGTGGGGCCATCCCAGGGATGGTGGTCCTGGCTTCTATAAGAAAGCAGGCTGAGCAAGCCATGGAGCAAGCTCCTCCTGCCAGGTTTCTGCCCTTTGAGTTTCTGTTCTCACTTCCTTTGACAATAATGTGGAATTGTAAGCTAAATAAACCTTTTCCTCCCCAAGTTGCTCTGTCTACAGAGAGAAAAACCCTGTGTCCAAAAAGAAACAAAAGAAAGGAAAAAATTAAAAGGCAAATTGTTTTTAAACAAAAGAGACTCAGAATGGAAGTGTACTGACATTAAAAGCAGATGTTGGTTATAACCTAAAATCTTTTTTTTTTCCCCCTCAACACTGGGTTTCTCTGTCCCTAGCTGTCCTGGAACTCTCTGTAGACAAGGCTGGTCTCAAACTCACAAGGTTCTGCCTGCCTCTGCCTCCCAAGTGCTGGGATTAAAGGTATGTGCCACCAAGGCCTAGCTTATGACCCTAGTTTTATGAACTTGGATGTGTCCCATTTTCTTCTTGTCCCTCCAAATGTCTGAAACAGGTACTTCATTAATTTTCTTTAAAATGCTAATCACTGGGGGCTGGAGAGGTTAACCGCACTTTCTGGGCTTGCCTGGGTTCTGATCCCAGGTACCATGTGGCAGCATACAACTGCAGATAACTCCACTTCAGGGGATCTGATGCTCTTTTAGATCTTGAGGGCGGTGAACATATACTCCATCATTTGCATGCCTAATGCCTACAGAGGCCAGAAGAGGGTACCAAATCCCCTCAAAAATGGAGTTAGAGGACTGCGAGCTGCCACATGAGTACTAGGAAATTAACCTGGTCCTCTGGAAGAGTAGCCAGTGCTTTTAACCATGTGTAATGGTTTGTTTCAAGTCTCAGCTTTCTGATAGACCATGAGTCTCCATTTCACCTTACATTGTTATTTCTTAAAATAGATAGGAATATAGTCTCCTAAATGTAAACCACCCTTACTCTGTTTGCAGTGGGTATCCCCAATTTTCCACCTAAAATGTCTTTCTTCTACCCTGTTAATGCCAAGTCCAAGCCTACTTCAAATTCTATCTGCTCCTTGGAGCATGCATTCCTCTAACTATTCCAGTTAACACTCATCTTTCTTCTGGCTCCCTCTAACAGTTAGTACTACAAAATAGAACCACGAGTTGTTTCAGAACTTTGTGTGTATGCTGGTTTTGTCTCTCTAAATATAAGATATCCCAAGGGGATCAAGAAAATACTAGACACATAATTAATATTAAATGAAGATAATTTTCCTATGGCTAAAATTTGCATTCCAAATTGTTAAGTCAGTTTAGTAGAAGTTGTGGCTGATAAAAACAAACAAACAAATAATCATTCCCACACATTTATCTTTATCCTGCCAAATTTAAAGCCTATAATTTACTAAGTGAGAAAAGCTTTCTTATCTTACACCAGTTCATCTACAGTAATAAGCACTTTAGGAGTGGAGGTAGCACATTCTTTAATCCCCTCCTTGGGGATTACCTCCAGGTCAGAACATAAGAGTGCTGCTCTCTTCATTAACACAATGTTTCCCACCTGCTACAAAAAAGCCACATTTCACACATAATTAACCAGCTGGCAGTCTTTTGACCAACCTGAGAAATTGTTATTGACTACAAAAAGTGAGATTTAGAAAAACAACGCTAGATCACAAGTGTGCAACTGCCCACACTTTGTATACCTAGCACAGTCAATTCCTCTTCTTTTTTCCTTTCTTAGGTTTAAGACAAATTTTTGGAGAGGCTTACCTTTCTCATTCTACCAAATCCAAATCTAATTTCAATCTAACTAGAGACATTAAATTTATCATGTTTTTAAGCCCCAAAGTGTATACAGCCAAGATGGCCTTGAGATAAACATCAAGTTTAATATGATAACATAATAAAGAGAACCAAGAGTTCTGTCATTCATTACAGTTTTAAAACTACTAGCAAGCAGGCAGAAGCAAGAATGGCAAAATAGAAATTTTTTTTCTCTAGGAATTTTTTCCCTTCCAAAAAAGTCCATGGAAGACCACCTTTTTAAATCAAAATATCAGTGAGTATAAACCAATGTGCTATTTACTATGTCAAGTTACCTGAAGTGTGCCTCCCCTGATTCTGTGTCATTCTTTGGAAGAGTTCATGGTTGTATTCATAATATCTGTAGTCTTCTTGTGCACGATCTCCAAGTGGCCGCCTTCTCTGACCATCAAAAAAATTATCTGAATAAAAGTATCGGGAACCAGAGTCTCCATTTTCAACAGCAAAATTAACTTCTGTTAAAAATGACTGTGATGAGCCATACTCTCCAGGAACATCTGCTAGGCTCCTGACAAGGTAAGAAGAAGGTGCAGACAGTCTGTTGCTTTCTCTTCTCATTACTTCGTGAGGCGTCCTTTGAATTGGAGTTCTCAGAAAACTCTGGTTTCTAGAAACTACTCCATCTCCAGAAGCTGAGAAAGCATTAGAGCTTGAGTCTGGAAGACAGATATCAGTCCGTCTTGGAATTGTTGGACCATGCCGAATGAATGAAGGCATGAGATCTACAATCAAACAGAATAACATCACTACCTTAATAAATAACTTCACTCTTCTAAAGTTACTTGTTTATGTCAAAATAACAAAGAGCTCCAGAAAACAAAATTTAAATTTTAACACTAGAACTTTGAGACTATTTTCTCAAGCAAATAAACTTATAATCTGCATTAATGGCTATGTGTAAGCTCAGCAACACCTGAACTGATACTGTATATTGTCATATATGATACAATGTCAGCAAGATTGAAAATAATCTAATAAATCAATGCAGTCAGCAGCATCATGTAAGGTGTTGCCAAGAATCTTTGTTCATGCAAACACAGTTTCATTGCAATAAAAAAAATGCTCCTCCAAAACATGCAAGACAAATTTCTTTTAAAAGATTTTTTAAATTAACAGTTTTGTCTTTCTACTCCCAGAATTACCCAGTTCTAGGTACAATGATCAAAACTAGAAAGCAAAACTGTTCAGGGTAGAAATTAAAAAACAATCTAATTCCAAAAATGCGCACACAAATGTTGAATCTGCTGAAAAATAATAAGCCTGTAATTATAATTATGGCTCCTTTAAGAGCAGATAACTCAAAGCAAGACAATGGGTTGTGGGAAACAATGTGTGAACAGCTTAGATTGTCTTAGCTAGAAGACTGGAGAGATGGCTCAGCAGTTAAGATTTTCTGAGCTAGAAAACAAATACCTTTAAAACATGAAGAAATCTGGATATTTAGCACATTTTCTGAATTCATTAAGTAAATGATACTGAGAAGTGTCAGAAGCTAACACTAGAATATCTTAATTTTGGAATAATTAACAGTTGACAGAAACACTCTATCGAGTTATTCACTGAAAGATTCAACTCAACACGTTGCATGGTTTCAGGTAATGTTTAGTAAATTTTATTTGCAGCAAAAAACAAGCTATCACCTAAAAAACAGAAAAACAAGCAATTAAAACTAAAGTTTTAAGTTTCTGACATACCCACCAGACCAACTTTGTCGTCAAGCCCTACAATTATTAACATAACTTGCAAGGCTCAACACATGGTTACAATGAAAAATCAAACGCTCTCCACCCCTTTCTGCGTGATCTTGGGCAAATACTAGGAACCTCTGTGGACAGCTTTCCCAAATACAGTATGAGGTAATGGTTAATTTAAGTCACACGGTTACTACGAGCTTCCAAGAAGGAAACGCACATTACACAAGGGGCCCAGCTTCTAGAATAAGAACCAAAGGATTAGCTCCTTCTCAGAAACTAAAGAAAATCGAGGCGCTCAAGTTTAAAAACTTAGAGTCACCTATTTCAAACGGAGAAGGAAAGCTGTGGGAGGAGACGGAACATACCCTACATAGACGAGGGGAGAAAGTTAGTTACTTGCCCGCTGTGGCAGAAATCATTCTGAGTACTTTGCTTTTTCGGAATTTTGGGTGCAAAACCTAATCCGACTACTTTAGGGGCTCGTCTGCTCTGAGAGAGGAGGCGGCTCTGGGTAGCGGCTACCAGTCCGTGTCCCGCCGCAGGGCTAAGGAGTCCGGTCTTTCTGCGTGTGCTGCTTGGGGCGCGAGCGAGCGTCGCCCGCGATGGTCGCAAACGCCGGGCACGCCCCGACATACCAGGCAGAGAAGCGCCCCGGTACAAGCACTTTTCCTCCAACACCAGGCACAGCCATGCATTCCCCAGAGTCTGCCTTTCCAGCACCACCCGGGGCTCCGCAGGGTCCCCAACCCGCGACACTCACTCCGCAGCAGGGGCGACGTCTCCTTCTTCACGTACTTGCCCTGCACCTCGGCCGGCTTGGACACCTCGTTTTTGGTTTTCTTGCGGGACAGCATCCTCACGGACGACGCCCGCCGCCGCCGCCGCCCCAGCAGCCTCGCTAGGGTCGAGCGCCCGCCGCCCGCCGCCGCCTCCCGGGCCGGCGCCGCCTCCGCCTCTGCTCTCCGCCGCCCGCGCCCGCCCGCAAGCCCCGCCGCATGTTGGCGGCGCTAGACGCGCCCGCCGCCGCTCAGTCGCAGGGCAGCTCCTCCCGCGAAGTCGACCGGCTCAGCGCCGCCGCCCGGGGCCGCCTTGACGCAGGGCCGCGGCCGCCCGCAAGGGCCATGGTCCGCCGCCCCGAGCCGCTAGCGCCGCGGCCACCGCCTACGTCCGGTAAACTTTCCCCGCGCCGCTGGGCATGCTGGGAAAGCCGACGCCGCGCCAGCGGCCACGCCCCCTCCGGGCGCCGGCGCGCGGGCGCGGCTGCGTGCGGGCACACGCGGCGGGCGGCTAACGGGCCGGCGCGGCGACCACCGCGGCCCTCAACGCGGCTGCGCGCGGCGGCTCCGGCCGTTGAGCAGCCCGAGTCGAGGCCGGCCAGGGCCCGCTGGGCCGCGCAGCCGCGCTCGCCTCCGACCTGAGCGCCCTAGCGGAGGCCGAGCTGCCCGCAGCCGCGTCCCCTGCCCTGACCGTCCCGGGCCGACGAGGACGCGGGACAGCGCGACTGCCGGGGCCTCTTGTGGTGACAGCGTGACTGCCCCAGAAGCTGAGTCTTTCTCTTCGCTTCTTCTGTCCTTCCCCCTTACTCCCGCTCTCCCTCGCCCGTGTCCCCACTCCGGTTTTCAGATCAAAAGGACAAAACAAAGAAGATGGGGTTTCTGCAACTCCTAAGATAAATCTGACGTTAATATTATATTTATCTCTTTTAATAGTATGGTCGATAACCACGTGTTTTCTCTTGCAGTTCACTCCTGAGGCCTTTGAGCGCCTGAGTGCAGAACTCAAGAGTTTTCTAACACAGCGGATTCTACTTTGTTCTCTATAACGCAGTCAGGTACACAGAATAATCCTTGGAAAATAAGATGGGATTCATCCCCCTTGACAGAAGAGAATGTTTTCCCTGGTGCTTAAAACACAGAAGCGAAACATGAGTCACATAACAAAAGCATGTGGTTTCCTTACATAAGACACCAAAACTGGCCAAATTTTGTTTAGCTATGCACAAAGGAGACATTTTATCGGTTGTTTCCGTGTTTTCGTGTTTCCTTGTTACGGAACCCTACAATTCTACACCAAATATTTATTAAGCACCCATCATGTAAGCGCTGTCTTAGGTGTCTGATAAGGCAATAAAAGTCCCTGCTGTTATGGAGAAGAGAGATGACAGAATAAGACTAGTAAAACTTAGTATGTTGGATAATGAGTGCTGAAGTAAGCATGAACAAGTGGGATTTCACAGTCTTGGAAAACGTGGCAGAGTAATAACGCTCTAAAAAGTCGATACAGGAATTAACTCGCCATGAAGCTATCTGGATGGAGTGAGACTTCCTGGCAGAACAGCAAATGCAAAGAGGGTCCATGTAGATGGAACAGAGAAGAGTGAAGGGAAATGAAGGTCCATGGTAACCGGCCACGCACCTAGCCTTTGGAGTAGAGGAGTGATATATTTAATGTTTTCATGCAAGCACTCTGGAGGCGGTATTGAGAGTAGACTGAAACGGTTTCAAAAGCAAGGAGAAGAGTCAAAAAAATGTTGCTAACATGCATCGGCAGAGAGGCAATGTGAATAATGCAGTAAGTAGTAATATTTTGTCTGAAGTGCATCTCACAGAGGCAACAGGCTTTGCTAACATTGATTATGGAATAAGAGTAAGGAATAAAGGGTTTCTCCTTGTGTGAGCCTTAATAAGACAAATGGAGTTCGGTAGAACAGGCTGTACTCTGGGAGGAAGAAACGACGCAGTTAAGTACTCCGGTGGTTCAGATAAAAGTGCTAGTATGAATGTGTTGGTAGTGGGAATAGAGGATAGTAATGATACAACAGTAGGGTTTAGTAAACTGAAGGATTTGAGGATGGGAGGCAAAGGATAAAGGGGTTGCCATAGAATTCCCAAGGCTGGCTGACGAGGAGAATAAAGTTATGTTGTCGGGATCCTGTTAATGAGGATAATTCGTTATATCTGGGGCTTTCCAGAGAATGAAATTAATGATGCTTTCTACATTCATGAAGGGGAGAATTGTAGGGTTTTGTAGCTGGATGGAAATTCTGAAATAAACCATGCTAATCTCATGAAAAGTAATACATGGTGTCTTAGGTTACCTTCCTGTTCAGTGGCAAAAATACATTTGGTCACTTTTCCCATTGCTGTCACCAAATGCCTGGAAGAAACAGTGTAAAAGAGAAAAAAACTCATTTAGGCTTATGGTTTTAAAAGGGTCACACATGGTCACTTGTCTTCATGTTTCTGGGCCAGTTGGGAACAGCCTTCATCTTTGCATGACATACCAGAAACAGAGACACTGGACGATATTTTGTACAAGTTACTTCCATGAATCCACCCCACTTCTTTAAGCTTGGCCTCATCTAAGTTTCTAGACCCCACTAGCTGAAGGTAAAGCCTAAAGCCAGGTATGGTGAGCAAACCTGTAAACAATCTCAATACTTAGGGGATGGCAGGAAGAACAAGATTTCAAAGTCAGCCTCTCAAGTATAGATCCAAATCAGCCTTCACTAATGAGAGCCTGTCTCAACGAATCAAAACAGACAAAAGCAATGAGCATGGGGAGAACATTTCCTATTTAACCATAACAAAACTAGTATCAGCACTGGAGAATTATACTCCCATCTTGTGCCTTTTTTCTGCTATAGCACATTTAAAACCCTACTAACCTGAGTCCAGACTGTTTCTTACACAGTTGCTTTGAAAGCCGTCCACATTCCCTACAAAGCATTCTCTTTTCTAAAGCCATTCAATTCTTTGAATTATGGAAGAGAGCCTCAATTAAGTGCTTTCTTTAAGACCTATAATTTGTCTTTTTTACCAAGGAGAGTTCATTCCAGAATCAACAGTCTATAGGCAGCAGTAGCAGTGCATAGTAAATAGATGGGCTTTGAATCCAGATTCTGAAATCCAAAGGCTTTGAGCTCACTTCTGCGTTCTAAAAATTCTCAGATTTCTGGGAATGTCCTTGAGGCAACTAGGATTGGCAGCTATAATTCTTTAGATATTCCTGCCGATAATGCTAGTACTATGTTACATAATAGAAGTGTTTTCCCACTGAAATTGCATTCTCAGTAGAAAAATAGCAGTTGAGGAACTGTATCTTATTAGCAGCAATTTTAATTTAGGATTAAAAGTTCAGATCAGAAAATGAAGCAATTTGACTACTTAATTTTTCAAGGTTAGTAATGTTTTAGCTTAACACTTTGTGCCACATATGAAAAGGAAAATGTATATTAATAGGTATATAAATGGTCTTTTAATTTTACAAAGTTTTTACTGTTTTCATAAAGACTGAAGTATTAAAATGTTAATGTTCTAGAAAAGCAAACTCTCATTCCAACTTGTTTCTCTCAGGAACTCAAGTTCTTTATGCTATTTTGATTTCCATTTATGAGATGCAAATAAAAAAGGGGTGAGCTGGAAAGATAGTTCAGTGGTACAGACCATTTGTTGCTCTGCAGAAGTCCTAAGTTCAATTCCCAGCACCATGTGGCAGCTCACAACCCTCTGTTAACTACAGCTCCAAAGAGATAGGATGCTTTCTTCTGTCCTTCTGAGCACTGCATACAGGTGGTACACAGACACACACAGGAAAAACACCCATCTACATAATAAATATTTACAAAATCAAATGGGCAAATTACCTATTTAGGCAAAAGTGTCCAGCCTTCAGGCTTCTCTGGGCCAAAGTGGATTGAGAACTGTCACATGCTGGGGCAGGGGCTATGGCTCAGTTGGTAAAGTCCTTGGGCAAACATGGGGACCTGAATTTGAATCCCCAGCTCTATAAAAAGCTGAGTGTTGGGTAATTTTATTTTAAGGTGTGTGACTTTTTCTGTGTTTCGTTTATCTCTGTGAAGCTGTGTTATTGTGCCTGTCTAAAACACCTGGTGGTCCTAATAAAGAGCTGAATAGCCAGAGTGAGGCAGAAGCAAGGATAGGTGGGGCTGGCAGGCAGAGAGTATAAATAGAAGGAGAAGCTAGGAGAAAAGAGCAACGAGAGGACACCAGGGGCCAGCCACCCAGCTAGCTATTGAGTAAGAGTAAGATTTACAGAAGTAAGAGAACAGGAAAAGAGCAGAGGCAAAAGATAGACTGGATAATTTAAAGTTAAAAAAAAATGCTGGCTAGAAGTAAGCCAAGCTAAAGCTGGACATTTATAATAAGCTTCCATGTATTTATTTTGGATGCTGTGTGGTGAGCCTCTCAAAAATGAAAAAGACAAAAGAGCAAAACATAATACAATAGTTAAGGGTTTCTGTAATCCCAGTGCTGATTAGGCAGACTGGTGGCTCACAGATCTAGTCTAGCTGAATGAGCTCCAGGTTCAGCAAGAAACTCAAAAAACAAGGTCTTTGGAGAAATAGAGTATACCACATGTTGATCCTTGAAATTCACAAACATATACGGGTATACAACACAAGTACACACACAATTTTTAAGTGCTGAAATTGGTTGTCCCTGAATTTAGCTCTTATTCCAGATTGTTGCTTGCCATTGGTAGGAAAAATAGTTTTGAGTGTCTCTAAAAGGTCTATGATGAAGATCTTTAAGACTGTCACCAATTAAAAATGGTGAAGCTTTGGTTATTATGGGTATGCCCTCCAACTGTGAGGTTCTACCCACTTTCAATTCTGTCTTCCCCTTCTCTCCCTCTTTTTCTGTTCCTTCTGCATCCTCCCTCCCCTTCTATGTGAACTCCTTCTTGCCATACTGTGCTACCTGTCAGAATTGAGCTGATGTAGGAGTCATGACTTTGAATATCTAAAATTTTGAGTCAAATAAGCTTTCTTTCTCTTATGAGTTTGTTGCCTCAGGCATTTCATCACAGTAATGCAAGTCTGATTTGTGTAATACTGTTATTGCCTGTATTTAGAAAGTATCCAAAATTCTGAAAGTCAGTGAT